CTTTTGTGTTTGCTTCCAGCTCACTCAGTTGGATGGTTTTTCTTTGTTCTCTTTTGTGTGTTGTTTTGGAAATAAAACGAATAAGAATAAGAATACAACATGTTTTTTTTGACTTATTGGTTTTGTGTCAAGATGCAGCAAGGCAATGCTAAATCTACCAGTGATAACATATTTTTCTTGTATGCAAGCATCTAACAAAAATTCAAATATTGTTAGGTTGAAAAGGGTACAGAGGAAGGCAATGGATCATTATTCATAGAAAAGATGACAACTGAAATACTTCATATTTATATAGATTAAAGGACATTAAATACTTTAAATATTGAAGGTTTATTTAAAGTTCGCAGACTTACACTTGTGGGCACCTAATGAAAAGTTAAATATTGTTAGGTTGTAGAGAGTAAAGAGGAAGGCAATAAAATCAATATTCATAAAAAAGACGATAATTGAAATACTTCATATAGATTAAAGACATTAAATATTTTAGGTATTGAAGATTTACTTAAAGTTCATAGACTTACACTTGGCTTTAAGATTATTCATGGCTACTGTCCCTCCTCCTTTAATGATTTTGTGAGATCAAGTGATAGGTGCGATGGGCGTTTAATACATTGGAAGACCAAAACTCTTTTAAACTCATCTTTTGAAATTTTTCAAAGGCTTTGGAAACAACTTCCTGTTCAGATTCAGCCATCCTCAACCACCTCAAACTTCAAAGATCAACTAACCAAATACTTGATCTAGAAATACTTATTTATTATCTCTTAAAATTTGTCTTAATTTTTATTTGTTTTTATTTAATTTTTAATACACTTGCTTACAAAATCCTGATTGTTATCTTCACATTTGTAATTGTTAACTTTAAGTTAGGATTTATAATTTAATTATTTTTAATCAGTTTATCTCTTTTATGTTCCTTTCTCTTTGCATTTCTGGTGCTTTTGATAATAGAGTAAGAGCAGTTTACTGTTTATGTTCATGCCTCCTTGCTCCTGGCAAAACTGGACTTTTACTTTGCAGAATAAATATTATTAAATAACATATAGGATGCTACAACTACTTCAGATATAAACAGAATGGGTAACATATTTTGTTTTGTCTACAAAAAAAAGTTTTATTCATATTGATGTAAGTAAAGAATTGTGGAATTGCTCTTCGACTAAATATTTGACTGCCCTTAACTGCTTCATGTGTCTAAAATAGACCATGTTTATGTGTTGAAAATGTTAGTTATATTTTTGGTAGATATGCCATCCAGGTTTCAGGTATTGGCTACACCTATTGCATGCACTAAACATGAATAAACATGAATTCAACTTACAACATTCTGAACTAAGCCTGGTCTGTTGGAGCGTAGCTTTTTGAGCGTTTGGAAAACATCGATGACATTCTCCAGTTTCATCCTCTCTACAACTTCTACTACTGTGCAGTAGATACCGCTTCTACCAATACCGTTGCTGCAAGTCAACCATTGGCAATAAAACAATTAGTAAAATATTGGATTTCAGAACACACCTAAATAGATCCTTCTCTTTTAATTGGTGGAATTTGTATTATGTGACATTTGTTATTTACACCATTTCATTACTCATCTTTTTTTTGTCTTTCATGGGTGTAGCCCACCTTTATTCTCTCTTTTTTCATTGTTTTCATTTTTTCCAATAACTCTTATTCAAGGTACAATAAACATTATGTTCAGAATTTACATAAAGGTAAAACGAAAAATTAAAAACTTCAAGTGTCTACCAACCATGTAGTACACTATCACATGAAATTTCTATAAACAATTATTATTTTGATACATATTTACTTATTAGTGATTGACTTAAGAACATTTATAATCATGGAAACTCTAGATGGCCGGAAAGGCACTCTCATACCTTAAAAATAATTTCCTTATTATCACAAAAATTATTTTTGCCATTTTCAAATATATATGTATTTACCATCTATTATCATGTAAATGATGTTTGTGAACTAGTACAAAATCAAGCCTATTATTCTGTTTAATGTTTAGTCTATTATTATTATTATTATTATTATTATTTTACTAAGGGAAAACCTTAAGGGAAACTTAGACAATGGAGAATTAACAAAGACAATGTTAAAGGGAAAATAACACAAAATATATTCCCCATAAGTCCAATTTAAAGAAATTATTATTACTATTCTTTTCATTATCATTATTATTATTATTATTGTTATCATTTTGCCTACTTTGTAATAAGTTTCTTACATGCAGTGAACTAAGATAGGATGGTTGCCATGGTGATAGTCATGTTGATTGTTGTCCACCAATTCCAGGACCTCCAATAATGTGGTAGATCTCTCGGGAATGTCCTGGTTCACCATCCATCCATGAACCTGGTACTGATGTACGATACAAGAAGCTTTCTGGCCCTGGAAAACCACATATTACATTATATAACCAAATTGATTTAATTCACTTGTGACAACATGAAAGCTAAAGAAATAATAACAAACAATAGTAATATTATAATATGGGCAACATCTATAACAAATGCACTATATATCTATATAATTATGACTAAAATATATCAAACAATACATAAAAAGCAATTATGTTATTTCTCATATAATTAAAATATTAAAACTAAAAAAAAAACACATCTGATTTTGAAAGTTCAACAAATTGATAGCAGCAAAGAATGCCAGAAGATATAACAGTTGCAGAACAATGAAGTAAGCATTAAGTAAATATAGTTTAATACAGATTATTAAATTTTTCAAATAAACCATTCAAAAAGCCACAAAGAATAAAATGTACTTATTCTGAAAAAAAGCTTGATATCTTGCTTTGAACAATAATCTAGCTAATTAATTATGCATAACTGCCTTCTGTGACTTGTTAATTGTTTACCTCCACACAATTGTATTGTTTATGAATTTCAAATTTATGAACATTTTTGTATAATGATCAATGATTTTTAGTTTTTCTAAAGTCAACAATGTTCGAATAAAGTACATGATGGTACATCGTGCAGCATAGCTCTCACAGAATGTTTTCCTGTACATAAATACATTGTGTAATAAAATGCCTCCGACGGGATCCCGTTGGAGGCAAATTTATCATTCTTTATGTATGTGTAAGATCTCCCAAGTTTCCTCACTTTAACGTTGATAAATATAGCAGGAGCTTTCAAAATATCCGTTTGATTGTTTTATTTTAATAAATTTGTGCTTTATTTGTGTTTTATTTTAATAAATTCCCGCAAGTCAACCTTCAATGATTGTACATCGTTTTTACATTTTATTTCACTTGGAGCATACATGCATATCCACTCTCCAATACATATATATATATATATATATATTTTATTAAAAATTGTTTTATGTCAAGTGTTGACAAAGACTGCAGAAGTATTTGAAATATTAGTTGCAATAGATTTTAGCATTTCTAGAGTCAACATTGATAAACTATATCTAAACGGAAAATGTAGTTACTTATGATTAATTATTAACTATAAAATCAATAAAAAGATATACTTACAGATTTGTTTTTGTTGATAACTTTGAACTGCCTGATAGTGATGTGATCTCCTTTTTTCTGTTTGGATTCTAATTTAACAACCAGAGGACCAAACTGCTCACTACTGCCTTCTGTATCTATCCAATACTGAGCACATGACTATAAAAATTTAACAATAAAAGAATTTTTTTAAAAGAAATTTACATGTTATTTTATCCTATTTCAATGTGAGTTTGCATCAGGAAAATATCATAGCATTGGAAGCGATTAAGGTGGGAATTGAACCCACAATATCTAGATAACTAGCCTGGCACCATGACCCACTAGATTACCCAAGTAGCAGTGGATACTGCAAATGCTATTTCGATGTGAATTTTTATCAGGAAAATAAACAGCACCACACGGCGGCTGGATGTGACATCAGGGAATACAACATTATACAACAGTTATCATACCAAGTTTTTGGTACAATAAAACGTCAGTTCACGGTAGGGCAAAGCATCACTCCTATGTTATTCTATCCTGTTATATATCTTTCAATTTTGAACCGCTAGACCCTAAGACAGATACATAAGTGTTGACGAGAAGAGGGAAACAGATGAACGTGTTCCTCTCAAATATTTATTTGACCAACATCGCAACTTTGCAAGTTTGCTTACTGAAAAAGATAACATAGCTAAAGCTTTGCCTCCTTAGAACTGTAGCCTGACCCTTCAAGGACTGTAGCTAGCTTCCACCCCTCAATCTTTTTTTCAAAATTCTAAATCTGCCAACTCAGTCCAACCTAATTATACCATAATTTTTGAGAGCCAATATTCAATGTGACCTGTCCATAGGGCAATTTTGTTTTGACAGTGCATATCTAATTAGACAAGCATGCATGTTGACATTTACAAACCAGGTGACACTATACAACTCACATGAATGACTTTTAGATGCAACTAAAAACACATTTTTTCTCATTAAATCCTAATCTTTGCTACCCTTTAAATAATTGTTGATATTTTTTATAGCTTAGGTTAGTCACAAGTATCTTCTGTGAATTACGTTCAGGGCCACCGAAAGTGACTACAGTGCTGCATATCTGCCAGGCTACTAGCAGAGCCCAGGTTGGGTCAAGTGGCAAGATGCAAGCGGCCTTTTAATCACGGTTAGTTTAAATGATTTATAGTCTTTGAAAATGAAAGGTGTTTTTTCAACTCTTTTCATCTATTTTTCCCTAATAGCCCAGGACATCTAAGAGTATCAGGCCCATAACTAGGTTCATGAAAAGGGAAGGGCAGTTTCCTACAAGCCAAGTTTAACACTCAGAAGTGTTTCTTTAATAAATAAAGTTATGATAAAATACTACTACACTAGGAAACCCCCCCTGGTTATGGACCTGAGTATAGGGGTTGTCTAAAGGCCCAGTGAGATTAAGTTACAAGGATACATTTTTGGCCTGGAGTGAAGTGACAGGTTTATTTTATAAATTTTTAGATTTGAATAACATTTATATACAGTTTTTTTTTTCAAGCTGCTTTGAAATCATTCCATATTGTGTAAACCACTATAGAAGTTTGTTACCATCAGCATTTAACATACAAGATTAACTATCAAACACAAATTTTAAACCAGAGCCTTGCAGGCATCAACATTCCTATGCATGAAACATGACTTTATCAGAAAATATAAGGTTGGGTCAAATTTGTGTGGTGGTTTAACATGAACAATTCAGGAGTGAGTTTTTATGGTCCAAAATAGTGATTTTTGACCACATTGTTATTGTTATTTGATAGGCAAATTAAGTTAGTAGAATCATCAAAAAAAAAAAATTTTATTTTATGTTATAGGCCTATGTAGGTATACAGTATTTCCATTTTACAGTAGTTTGAAACGATATCGGGGGTGGGGGTGCTGGCTTGGCCTACTAGACAACAATATATTAAGCCACCTTAGCAGACGTCAACGTTCCTATGCAGAATAATAGTGAAGTTATATGGCTGAATTTAATACACAAAATATTTCAATTTGAAAACATATTTAGGCCGTTTGCTGTGTTATACTGCGATAGCGAAAATGTTGGCCTATAGGCCTAATTAATACAACAACTGTGATACTTTTATCACTATGGATTGTTTTTAATTTCACAGGGACGTATTCAGGGAGGCGCTGCTTCGCTCCTCCCCCTCCCCCCACCTCTTTGTACACAGTTTTAATACAAATTGTTTCCTTAAATCACTCAGACTCTTCCCTCCCTCCACATCTTTGTACACAGTTTTAATAAAAATTGTTTCCTTAAATCAATCAGACTCTTTAATAGTGATCAACAAAACTTAAACTTATGATGTAAACAGTTTGGGTCAAATGTCTGTGTAAAAAAAAATATATAAGGTAAAAATAAAATTACAGTAATATAAAAATATTTGGTTTTATTTCAAAATTATTATTTACTAAATGCAGTATCCATAAACACCATACTTTGTTATGTTAGTACTGTTTGCACTAGTATGTTAATGACACCTTGATATTTTCCACAAGGGCAATGTGTGACAGGATGACAAGATTGAGTACAATGGGAATAAAGTGATGGATGACCAGAAACTAATCCCAAGGGTACCATGTCATTGTCACTAAAACAAAATGTCGGAAAACTTTTCCTGAAGATGTCTACACAGACATACATACACACACACACACAAAAGTGAATACAATAGTTCCTATTGCATTACATGCATAGGAACTAAAAATGAAGAAAAACAGCTCATACAGCGTCATCTGGATCCATGTCATTAAGCATGACGACAGAACGAACATTCCAATCAAAAATTAAGCGCCACATGTCGCCTACAGTGTTTGGTAACGGCATCTGCGTTGCTATGAACTTGTCCTTCTGCCTATACCCCTGCAATTTAAATAATTGAAAAACAATTTAGTATAATAGCAATATATTATGTCATGCACTTAAAGATTACACAGATTAAACTATAGCAAATGTGTTATAAATCAACACAGTAATTATTATTTTTTTCTTTTTTCTTAACTTGGTTATATGGCCTGACATTACCATCATTCTAATAAGATGTGGCCACAATATATATTTATTTTAAGCCATGAAATATTTGCACCATGGACTGAAATGCCGTTCGAGGCTACATAAATATCCCGGAGGCATTTTTGGAGAAAAAAATACCAAAAATAAACTGTTGGGCTATGTAGTGTACAGGTAACATTTGGTGATGGAGGCATTTATTGAGACAACTTTCATGGTCAGAGTCACAAACATTTTTTCCCAGGCCTGAGTGCAAGCTGGGAATTATCTAGGCATGGAGAGTCAAGAATAGCCAGCATGTGGCTCAAACTCCTAGGCTCAGATCCTGAATGGAAATCGATGTGCCAAACCACATTCTTGATTTAACTTATTATTGTTACACACAAAACGCTTTTGTTTTTATATTTTTTCATTGACTTAAAAATAAAAAACTTTAAAAATATACATACATCTAAAAATGATGCATTGACGTATTCATTCCCTCCTGCAGAACTCTCAGTGACCAAAAAGGGACGATTACGATCGACTGAAAAAAAAAGAGTTTATATTATTATTATTGTTAGTTTCACAACATAACATATACTTTATTAAAGTGCAATCTAGTTACACACTGAGAGATCCATTCACATGCACCCAACACCCTCAGTGTTGATATTGAAAATTCCCTTTGCCCATCTGATCCACTTTTATGCCCTTCCCTGTTTTAGAGTATTTGATGCGACTAAAGGCCAACTCAGCCAGCGTTGTATAACGCAGCTCGACGCGATTTGTTGTCGTTTAACTCACACAGACCCGACGGTTTGTGTCGGGGGCAGTCGCGTTGTAGAATATTAAGTATGTTTAATATTTCTCATGACGGCTCAAGGCTGTCCCCGATGATGAATCGCGTCGGGCTGCGTCGTGCGACGCTGTCTGAGTTGGCCTTAAAAGATCAGCTTCCCGTGATCACTAAATAATTAACATGACACTCCCAAAAATATATTAAAAAGTGAGTTTTACTTTTCTAAATTTTCTTTCATTTTTTGGCTTAGTTTTGCTTATGGCCCACATCACTTGGCAGTGCAGTAACTTGTGGTTAGGCAACCAGTTCTCTGATCATTTCTTAATGGTTTCTATTTGTGTTGTATTCGATTTTCTAAGGGAAGTTACTCCTCTTATATTTCCCTGTCTTTTTTTATGTAAAATGTGTTGGAGAATTTTTGCATGTGCTACATACAATGGACATCATTATATTATTATTATCATCATCATCATTATACTCATCAAGAACTTACTTGGTATGATGTTTGAGACACGGTTCTTTTTGATGTTTTCTGGCTTGTGACCACCTTTGCAATGATCTGCAGTAGGATAAGGAGTCACATGTTGTAAAACCTGAAATAAAATTAATCAAATCAATCAATCAATCAATATATCAGGCAAAATCGATTTTTACAGCACAGACACATCATACATAATTCAAATATCAAAATGAAGAAATGACTATTATCTTACAAGAACATAAAATATTGCTATTTTCAATGTGAACTGGTATGTTGTAGAATTATCATAAATGTTCTAAACATTACTTAAAATGACCAATAACAGTAAACTATTAATGTCGCTAATATGTTGATTCTGATTTGCAGTATTGTGAACTGGCACAGATCATGTGAAAATTAAGTATGTATAACATGGTAGTTAAACAATTTTTTTTTGGGCCATATAAGCAATTTAGCTTTTACTGGCCCAGAAGTTACAGGCAAGTTTAAACACATTATTTATAGGCTTTAACTTTTTATAACGGTTAAATTAACAATACAAACCTTAAACTCTTCCTCTATGTAGGTCCTTTTTGTCTGCGGATTAAGACGCTTCAGTTGTGAGAGGCGTGTTTGGAAGTTACTGGTGTTAAATGCGGTGTCCCCACAAAGACAATACTCCAATAGAGCATCATATATGAACACATACTGCTCCTAAAAATATATATAATTACAATAAAATAAATCAACTACATCATCTCCACTGCAATACAGTACTAAATATTGTTTGAAAGTTTGCATGGCAAAGTAATATTATATTAAATGCTTGTGGTACACCATGTAGATAGTTCTGAACAGAACTGTTCTTTTTGCTTAGAACGTCTCGACGATGTATATATACATATATATATATATATATATACACACACTACTCCTAACTGACAACTAGGGCGAAAATCCTTTGTCTAAATTTCGCCTTAATGTCGTTAAAATTTCCCCTTTGCGGCAGTACTTTCACCTTAAAGTTTTTAACCCTCTCCATTGTTAAGGTTTATATATATATATATATATATATATATATATATATATATATACTGTATATGTATTGAGGAGTGGATTTGCATGTATGCTCCAAGAGAAATACAATGGAAAAACAATGAAAAAAGGATGTACAACCATTGAAGGTTGACCCGCGGAACACAAATTTATTGAAATATAACAAATTCAAACAGATATTTCAATAGCTCCTGCTATCTTTATTAATGTTAAACTTTGATTCTTATAAAGTTTGCATGGCATGAGAGAAGGTTTATGGTACTATAACCTATGATGCATAGAACCATGAAACGTATTATGCAAATATGATTATATCATCATAAGTCATCAATAGCAATATCATCATCATCATCATCATTATCTAATATAATATCATGATTATTTTATATATATATATATATATATAGGGCCTATATATATATACATATACATATACATACGTGTATATAAGTCTAATTAAAATTGTATTTGATATTTACATATATATGTATAGGCCTACTAAATACAAATATACACCATCAACTTACAGGTGTCTGGACCATATTGATTCGCTGATCCCTTATTTTTCGCAAAAAATTAAAGACATCAACCTTCTTTTCCTTATTGATCATATCCAACATGGCATCAATGGCAATGTACGTTCCTGTCCGTCCAACACCAGCACTACAGAATTAGAAAATAAAAATATTTTGAAAACATGACACAAAAACTCACAATAGATACTTGGCATGTGTTCTACGATGCATAGAACCATGAAACATATTATGCAAATATGATTATATCATCATAAGTCATAATCAAAAGCAAAATTATCACCATCATCATTGTCTAATATGATATCATGATTATCAGTCAATACACAATCATCATCTTCAAAATTTATAAGCATCAACGTGATCATGCTCAGTGCTGTGTATAGCACCATCTGCATTCACAATCATCATTCTAAACATCCAATTCATCTTCCTCATCCTTATGATCATCACAATCAGCATCACCACCATTGTGATCATCACCATCAGCATCACCACCAGTATTGTGATCATCACCATTAGCATCACCACCGGTATTGTGATCACCACCAGTATTGTGATCACCACCAGTATTGTGATCTTCACCATCAGCATCACAACCAGTATTGAGATCATCACAATCAGCATCACCACCAGTACTGTGATCATCGCCATCAGCATCACCACCAGTATTGTGATCATCACAATCAGCATCACCACCAGTACTGTGATCATCGCCATCAGCATCACCACCAGTATTGTGATCATCACAATCAGCATCACCACCAGTATTGTGGTCATCACCATCAGCATCACCACCAGTATTGTGATCATCACCATCAGTATTGTAATCATCACCATCAGCATCACCACCAGTATTGTGGTCATCACCATCGGCATCACCACCAGTATTGTGGTCATCACCATCAGCATCACCACCAGTATTGTGGTCATCACCATCAGCATTTCCACCAGTATTGTGGTCATCACCACCAGTATTGTGATCATCACCACCAGTATTGTGATCATCACCATCAGCATCACCACCAGTACTGTGATCATCACCATCACCATCGGCATCACCACCAGTATTGTGATAAATATTATTATCAAAAAATTATATATGGATCCTCAACATCACCAATAACATTATCAAATCAAATTCTAATGAACATACATAATTATACATTTTGACATTGTTATTATTACTATTATTATTAATACTAATATTGCTATAATTATTATTATTATTATTATTATTACAATTGTTATTCCTAATGGCAATGTTATAACTACCATTATCACACATATTATTACAACTGTATTATAATTATTATTATTATCATTACATATATTGTTTATTGTGAGAAGAAAAGTAGAAGAAATATTGCTTGAGAAAAATGAAGGCGAGAGAATAGAAAAGTTTTAATAAAAAATCATCAGGGATGTAATTTTAAGTATCAACTTTAATTAACAATGTCAACATTATCATCAATCGTTGTTGCATCATTGAATCGTTGTCATCATTTTGTACCTGCAGTGGATCAAAATGGGAGCAGTGGCTCTTTGATTCCTATCCTGCTTGATTTTCTTGATAAAGTTGAGGGCAGCAGTCGCATAAAGAGGTACACCCATATCAGGCCAAGAGGTGAAATGGTATTGTTTGACACGTCGAAAATCATCACTCTCCCCCTAAACAAAAAGGTAAGTTAAAGATTGATACAAAAGCTGACCTTCTTTCATCATTATACTGCTTAGAAAAGATACTTGTGTTGATATCAGAACAGGTGAAGATATGCACAAGATCATACCAAATAGTGACGTTGGGTTAAAACTGTGAGAGTGAAGGCAAATGTTGCATAAGAAAGAACATATAGACTAAGTGGTGTACCTAGGTGGTCCCCCAGTAACACTCCCCCCACCCACTTCTCACCGATCCACCACTGGAACTGTTCAAAGCAAAAAATATTAAGCTCTAGTACTTAAATATCAACTCATATTGACTAATTTTGTGAGCTACTGTAGTCCCCCACTTCACTTTGTTCCCCATTTCCTCCCATGTTCCTCAATTCGCCACCTCCCCCACATTTTAAGACTCCTAGATACACCACTGTACAGATCAGAATAATATATTCAGGATCAAGCAAATAACTCTAATGCAAGTATTGCTATTGATATACAATTAAAAACTAGGCGGTTATCAGATCTTTAGATAGAATGCCCTTTGTTAAAATATTATGGCTAAAGAAAGAGCAACAGATATGATATACCTCCCAGACTTTGAAGGAACGTATCTTGTAGTCTGCATAGTTTTCAGTGACTTCAAGAAGTATGTTGAGGTCACCAAACTCTGCAACGTGACCTCGGTTTTCTGGCCAATATTTCTTGCACTTCTCCTGAAAATAAAGAACAGAAGATTTAATGATATTTAGAATTAATTTTAATTTAAAATGTAAAAAAAAAAAAAAACACCATCCTTGCTCATATCTAATGCAAGATGAGTGCTGTAAACTTTTAAGAGCCTAAACCAAACAGAGAGTACAAAATATGAAGTAGCATTATTTTTACAGTTTCAATATTGATTCAAGAAAAATGCTACAATCTTTCTGTTTTGAAAATCCTCCTGTAGAGAAAAAACAGATCTTAACAAATAATGTTTTAATTTTAACAATATATTATATTGTTTAATGGAGTGGAGTTGTCCCTCCTAAAAATGCAACCTTAGAAGTTAACTGCTGCAAGCTTGCAGATGCACATAACAATAATAATATATGGCATTATGCAACAGTAGTAAAACATTGTATACAGTAGCTGGGGTGGATGCAGGGGGGGGGGGTAATCTTTTCTTTCACTGCATCCATCCCAGAGAAGTGTTTCCATCGTTTACCTTGCCCGACTCAATGATATTGGTTAACATCACAATAGATGTCACATTTTCTTGCCAAATCATACGCCAGAAATCAATCAAAGAAGAATTATTCGGTCCTAAAATCATGATAAAAGAAATAATATGTCAATCAATTGCCAAATCAATTAAATAAAATAATTAATATTTTTAGATGGTGTAAACTTTCTTTTCTAAAATACTGTACCTTGACTTGCAATGTAAAAGTTACTCTTGTTGTAGCCCTATAAAAGAATAAAATGGTATATGTATTAACAATTACTGAAGAAAATTGCTGTAGTTCATCATAGAAATTGAAAAGGGGCTTATAACCGAGAACAAGAAAATAGAAACAATGTCAACAGCCATCCTGCAAGCCCAGCTTGGTAAGTCCAGGCCTATAGGTTCAATGCCCCCTAGTCCATGAGAATTATGTAGCTCAGTGCCACACTGCTTTGCCAGCAGTTTAATACTAAATTCTAATTTAAAATATTCCATAATTGGTTCATTTATACTTTCTAAATTGTTATCTGGGGCACTCTGTGTGTAGGATTTATACAAATCCAGTTGTGCTTTACTGGTTATTCGTTTGCACCTGGTATACACAATACCAATGTTGATGTAATTACTGGTGGCCTCAACTTAGTAGAAGAAAATATACTCACATCTATATAGCAAGCATTGATATATCCAGACTCTGGGTCATCTTCTAACTCCTCAAGGACAACCCTTGAGTGATCATCTTAAAAAATACAACATATCAAAGTGAATATTTATGATTATATTTAGATTTTCTTTATTTTATTTACTGTACTGTATACTGTATTCTCATTTATAAGGGATTCTGTGTCTAAAGCCTGGCATTCTCAGCACACGACGGTCGTCGGCCGACATGATTCCATAAAGAACGCAATGCGACGACGCTAGCACAAGGGATCGTTTTTAATGACGATCAGTTCGCACTGCCACTGACAATCAGCAGACGGCGACGTGTCGTCTATCGTGACAACAGAGTTGGATTCGTCGTGCAGCGATTGTATGACTGCATCTACTGCATCTAGCTGGCTAAAAACGGAGCCAAATGGATATTAAAATATTCATCAAAAGAATCATATTTCCCCGCATCTAAAATTGCATTCATTCATGCTGCTGGTAGCTTCATTTCAACCTAGGGGTTGCCTAGAGCATAGTTCAGGGGTACCTGAATAAAATCCTTGGTAGCGTTCGGGGGGAAAGATTTTTATGATTTAGGATGGGTCAAAATAGACCACAATATTAAGGATTGGCAATTACAATAACTTGTTTGGATCAGAATACTGAAGTTTCTAATCTGATCATTGACCTTGCCTTTCTGTCGGAGGGTGGGGGGGGGGTCCATGTCCAAAATGGCGCCCAAACTGGTACTGCCTCTGACTTTCCAGAATTTCTTGGCACCTGGTCCTCAGCATACACATACAATAGTTAATGGCAGCCTAAATGAAGATTACACAACTTTTACTTCCTAATCTACAACCCCGAAGAAATGCTCGAAAGAAACTTACATGCCACAATATTTTTGAATCGGTTTTTCGTTCGATTCGCTGATCTTGATGCAACCTCCCAGGGGTGAGTCTGCCCTTTTGGAAGTTTCTGTTGGAAAAATAAATCATTAGAGGGGGTGGGTTAGGAAAGAGGGTGTTTCCCTCTCAAGGTAATATAAAAACCAAACCCCATACAAAAGCCTTAACCCTAAGCCAGTTTGTGACCCTATTTGGCTTAAATAACAATACAACATTTTTGATACAAAATGGTTATTCCATCTGCATACAATTAGTTGAGCACAGACACACGGTGGCTACCACTAGGCGACTAAGCTTTACCTCTCCCATAATCACCATTACTTGAAAAGACACCAATATTTTTCTAAGATTGTAATCCTAAAAACACAATGTAATCAAGACAAACTATTAGGACTTACCCCATACTCATGCTGAAGACCATCAAGGGTATTCAATCGTTTCTTTGCAACGAAGTCTGGAAGATCTTTTATGCTTATTGGGCGTATATTTTCTACGTTCTGATACATTTCCTCAAAATTATCTGGCAATTGTGGTATAATAGATACGCGGCCAGCTTTGCGTTCAAGTTCAGGAGTCGTTATTTCTTCCTTAGGTTTTGTAACTTCTGGGCTTAAATATTCTTGAGATTGCTTATGATTTTCTGAATAAAAAAAAAAAGCAATTTACAAAGATGAAAATGAAAGAAATGTGCATAGGACATTGTTGGTAGGTTCCAAATGTTTCTGTTGGACAAACACAAACTATACCTAGCTCTGTTCTGATTGGTCAGTTATTAAAGTTTGACTAAAACTTCTGAAATCCAATAAATTTCTGGGTGGAGAAAAGCAATACTTAGCTACTAACAATTAACCATGGTCCAACTTATTCCTCTATAATCATTAGACAAATCAATAATCAACCATAAGCTTTTCTAGACGCCCGGAAACAACCTCGTAGGAATTTGGAGCAATCAACAATTTCTTTTTTTTGTTTCTTTCTTTTTTTCAATTTTCAAGAGGAAGGGGTTGGGATATGGGTGGCCTGGCCTATTAAATCCGCTCCATAATTGTGATCAGTATTCATGCAGACCACAGTTTTTTCTATTTAAAGTCAAATGCTTGACTTTGAAACAAACATTAAGCTGTGTCCACACTATCAACTTTCCTTTGACAAAAAACTGTTGTATGCCCATATATAGTCATGATGTGCCTATATATGGTCATGATGTGCCTATATAGTCATGATGTGCCTATATATGGTCATGATGTGCCTATATATGGTCATGGTGTGCCTATATATGGTCATGATGTGCCTATATATGGTCATGATGTGATGTCATCATGACCATATTTAGGCATGCCACATGTTCATGCCAAATATAATTTGACAGTCTGGACAGGACTTAAAATAATTCAATATTTTTCTGAATAATAAAATTAGGGTACCTGAAAATGTACTTTCTTGGTGCTGATACACCAGGGCATCATTCTGCTTTCTGGGACTTTGACGTTGACGTCTGAAATGGAGATTCACTTGCTATAATAATTCTCATTACAATATTTATATCCTTACATTTATCATTGCCATTGAGATTATGTTCATGATCAATACCTATTGTTTTATATCGAGAAAAAAAAAAAAAAACATTATATGATTGGGTTGTGTAGTGGCTCAGCCCCAGGTGCAAGCATTCCATGGCATATATTAAAATATAATAAACAAAAAAGTAACCCTTAACCTAGAAATGGCTTTCAGGCCTTGTTTAGTCTGAATTCAATAAAAAAAATAAAAAAAACCCAATTATATACAGTTCACTTTGGGACCTGAATATTTGGGGTTTCTGTTAATAGACTGAATATCGTTACTTTGATTCTTTGAAAAATTGTCTCGAATTAGGTGTTGGATTTAGAGGTGTCTTGAATTGGAGGATGCATTGTATAATTTAGCAAACCAGATGAAACAGTTAACAAATAATATTAATATCATAATCATCAATATCCTTATCATCAAGATCAAATAGTAATATTTAATAACAGGAAAATCATCTGTTTTGTTGATCCAATTAGTTGCTTACCTTAGCAACGATTTCAGCAACTGCTTCAAGATTCAAGATTTTTATTGTTTCATAATCCATCGAAGGCTACTATTCGCTCATTAACAATACATATATACAATCAAAATCACAATATATACCTTACATTACTGATTTAGAATGCCTAATTTAATTGTAATATCATTAGGGGAAATAAATAAAGGGTCAATAGGTTATTAGCAACTTCAATTGCATGAGGAAAGAAAGATGATAAGAACCTTAATGAGTGACCTTTGTTCAGGCTAATGAAAGTTTTGTTCAACAAAACAGATAATTTTCCTACTATACTTTAATAACAAACCAGATGAAATTCTTAGAGTGTATATATTTAAGTTGATGTTTTTTTAAAGAGTAACAACTGTTGGTGATTCCACGATAGTAAAAGTTTCCAATACAGCTGTAGTTAACAGTAGTTAAAGAAATATCTAAAAAGAAAATGAAACTCACCTAAGGAGGAAGAGTACCAGAAAGACAATGAAACATATAAGAACGAGAATACCAAAAACAGCTCCAATTATTAGTCCAGTTGAGCTATCGTCTTGAAATAAAAAATATCAATAGTCAATATTGCTATCATGACAAAAAAAAATTGTTATGCTTAAGCCTGACCAACCCAAAATATTTACAATCAAAAAATGGCTTAAGAAACATACATTAATACTTTCACACTCATAATCATAACATATCAGGATACAAAGTATATGTTTGTTTATGATAACCCACATAAGATATGAATAAATTATTATTTTCCACATTTCTACTATTTATTTATTTATTATCACTATGATATTTGTGACCCAAGCTCACAAAAGGGCTGTAAACTCGTCCTTAGGCCAAAATGTTTTTGTTATAATGCAAAAAAAACATAATAGAACATATCATTTACTTTAAAATGACAGTTAAATGAACTCAATCGGATGTCTGGAAGTTATGACCGTTTGAATAATTGTCATCTTATCAACTTTCTTAAATCAAGTTTTGAGAAAAATGCTTTTATTTTCGGCAGGTTTCTATTCATTTTTCACTAGTTCCCATCCAAAAATGGCTAAATTTTACCTATTACAGTTGGAATTTTAAACTCAAACTTCAGGAATAGTAAGATTAAAAGTTATACTTTATTTATTACACAAAAACCCAATTCACACAAAATTCATGTTCTACGGTCTATTCTGGGGAGGCTTGTTTCTCAATAAAGTGCGTTGCGAGTTTACCCTTTTGTGAGCTTGGGTCACATTTTTTATAATGTATAATAATATGAAATGAATGAAATGGCTCACAGAACAACATTCATTCACAGACTTCATTATGATTTGTAATTTGAAAAATATCTGTGGTTTTAAAAGCCTGTAGGCATGCATGGCCTAGGTCAAAAACTCACTTATTTTGATAGCAGATGCCAAAATTTATTTATTGTTCATTCATCCATTCAAATCATTTATTCAATCATTCATTTGCTTGCACGCTCACTTGCCATGCATACATTGATGCAATAATGCATGCATGCATTCATTCAGAAGGTATATAAAGATTTCACACATGTTTTAATACCACCATATCAATACTAAATTACTAATATATAGAGCACATTCATTACATTCAGAAATATTTGTACAGTGTTCTTTTTTTCACTCAGATAAATGGATATAGAATCAATCATGCGCATGTGCAACCTCCTCTGCTTCGTGGGGAGTACCTAGCCATGCAGCTCTAACTTAGTCATCTTTACCCAAATTTGGTCAACATCATTAACATCCTACCACCAGGTACCCACTATAATATTCCTGGGTAGAGAGAAACAAATATACAAAATTGATATGTTCACACGTAATAGACTCACGCCATGCCTTAGATGGTTCGACAGACAGTGTAAGAGCAAAACGAACGAAAGTTATGTTCCAAGTGTGAGCTAAAACAGTAGGTTGGACGTAGGTTGAAGTGGTGTGGGGATGCACCCCCTTCCCCACCATGGTGGCAAATGAGTGCAATTATAGGGTTAAAATAATAAAAATAACAATTGAGTACACCGCTTTCTCAATCTTCGCACCCCGTCCCTCAACCCTCCAACCGAAACCAGCCTACACCCTGCTGATGTGTCTTATTTAAAGACACAAGTGACGTGACCAGCATCTCAAATTGAACATTCATTTGAAACCCCTAAGATATATGATTTAAAGAAAAATATTTTTTACATGGCAGGATGCCACTCTCTTATTATACTATTTTTATAATGATAATGAATTTGGAGTTTTTACTTTTCTCTTTTTGAATGCTTTTTTTTCTCCAGTGCATTTTTTGCATTTTAAGTATGAATAATTGCAATTATTACAATAATAAATTAATTATGATTATGTTTGGATGTTTCCCTTAAAATCTTATTGCAAGCCCTACTTCTTTTTCCCTTTTTTTTGCTGTGCAATTTCTAATAAATAGTTTAATTTTCTAAAGATTTGAATGTAAATTTTTATAATAATGATTTTTGGCATTTTTAATTATTTCTCTTTATGAATGTTTATTTTATTGTCTAATACTTTTTTTGCTTTTAAAGTATTTGCATGTTTATTGTGAATTGTTGTTTTTTTGCTTGTTAATATAATGCAATTTAATTCTTATTACTACAATGTTATATTTGGCAATTCTTTTTTACTTTTGTATTGTTTATATTTTATTGTTTGAATAAAATATACCATAAAAATTGAAAAATTATTCAATATTACCTATTATTGACTAACCTCTGTGAATTCTGGTTTAGCATACACAAAAATATGAACAATGTGTGATCACTTTCCTTTGAAGCTTTAAATTCCAACGCTAGTGCATGCAAATTAGTTGAATGTGAAAGAAAAACAACATAGTTTAGTTAGGCTAAGCCAGGTTTCCATACAATCGCTACACCCTATCGTTGACAACTTTCGGTGAGGCTGATTGTTCAGTCGAATCGCTGAGCCTTTCCGATTGTTTCAGGGACTGCTACCCATTACGATTGCACTGAAAACACTGTAGTGACAGTGCAGCGATTTTATGGAAACCTGGCTTCCAATAATCAAGCAGGAATTGGAAAGTGCAATGGTCAAATGTCATAATGCAACTGCAATAGTCAAACTAGGTCATATGCAATTGCAGTGGTCATATCGTTGGCAGGTATAATGGTTAAGAATGGTCATAATATGAGAGGTCATCGTCAAGTGCAGTTGTGAAGAAGCCATCAGCAATTGAGTGCAATGTTCAAGATGGTATTGGTAAATAAAAAGGTCAAGATTTTAGATGGTCAAAATGTTATTGGCATAAAGTGTAAAGCAGTGAAGAAGTCATTTTTTTTGTTATATAGTGCAATATACACTATGTCATTTTTGGCAAGTGTGATTTACAATGGACAAGCTGTGATTAGCAAATGCGATGGTGAAGAAGACAGTTTTGACTGGAATGGTTCCGATGATGGCAAGTTAAGTGGTCAATAAGACATTAGCAATTAGTGCAACTGTCAACATATCATTAGCAGGGTGGCACCAGGATTTGCCCGACAAGGGGGGGCCCCGATGCCCCCGACGAGGGGTTAGATTTCCCCGACGAAATCAATGTGGGCATGGTCGAGCTTCGACTAAAAGGTTCCTAAATTGGTCCAGGAGGCAAAGCCCCCCAATTTTAACAATTTAGGGGTTTCAAAGGCTTATTTAATCGATTTTAGCATCTAACTAATATGTAGAAAATTTTTCTCCCTGATGAATTGTGCTTTTTCTCCCCAACGGGGGGGGGGGGGGGGGGGGAGCGCCAGTACTCCCCGGCGGGCCCTGGTCATTTGTTGGTGCCACCCCTGCAACAGGCCAAGAAGTCATATGTAATTAGTAATTTTCATTGGGAAATCAGCAAACATGATATCAGAAGTCAATATTAAGTGGAAAGGTCAGAATGTTATTGGCGAAAGACGCCACCGACAATTATACAGTCAAATTCACACAATCAGATTATCATGATTAAATGAGAAAGTTACATAAAGTTCATACACAGTCAGGATATAATGACATTTAACAGTACAACAACATGATCACATGATGAATATATAGTATAGATAGAGGTTTTTAATACTGGAGTGCTAGTAAAACAGCCAATCCAAATGCACCACTGTAGTATAAATGATTAATTGCGCATTAAACAATAATAAAAATAATATCTCCCGCTATTCCTAGATTGGTTGCTCATATGCGTGAGTATGCGATCATCATGTGAAAATACACAAATGCTTCTCTGTGTCTTAAGCTCTGTTTACACTATCAGATTTGATGTGACAAATTCTGCCATGAACCAAACTAAAACTACAATAATTTTAAAAATGATAACAACTATTATCATTATTTTTTTAATTTATTATTATTTATAATAGTTTATACTCCATGAAATCAATATATATGATTATGCTTATACTATCTGCAGGGGTTTATTTATGAATTTGAGTAGCAGGAGAAATTTGAAAGTAACAGGAGAGTAAATTGAAATAGGCCGGGGAATGGGGGGGGGGGCGCCTAGGCCCCCATCGGTGTCCAGGGGCAGAGCCCTGGTCGGGGGTCAAGGGGGCGAAGCGCCATTGCAATCCAGAGTTTTAGAGATTTTTAAGCCCATTTGATGGCATTTCTCTACATCATTTTTTTAAAAACAGTTTTCAGAATCAATTACTGAGCTGTAAAAAAGTTGATATTTTTTCATATTCTTCATACATAGGCCTAGCCTTATGGAACGCCATCGCTGCCTTCGGTAACAGCTTACCATTCGGCGCATTTACATTCGGCCCTTTTACCATTACGTTCGGCTCTTTTACCATTCGGCACATTTACATTCGGGCCTTTTACCATTACGTTCGGCTCTTTTACCATTCGGCGCATTTACATTCGGCCCTTTTACCATTACGTTCGGCTCTTTCACCATTCGGCGCATTTTCATTCGGCCCTTTTACCATTACGTTCAGCTCTTTTACCATTCGGCGCATTTTCATTCGGCCCTTTTACCATTCGGCGCATTTACATTCGGCATATTTACATTCGGCACAATTACAAATAAAATATAACCTTTGACATCGGGTCAAATAAAAAATTTCAACGGCTGTGGGAATGAGCCTATAGGAACTAGAAGAAGTAGGCCTGGAGCCTATGGCAGAATTATGGCAAACAGTTTCATTAGGCAGAATCATGCAATTTTAAAGTTAAATATTTAATTTTAGAAGTAATACCAATGGATTGTACATAAAAATAGGATTAAAATGAGGGGTCAACCATTCCTATGGGATAAGCCAAAGCGGAGTTACGGATTTTTGAACATTATTCATTTCGACCAAAATGAGGACACTTTTCCAATACAAAATCTGTGACTGTTGTGTGTAAATATAAGGTATAGGCATTATGTATAGTAATTATTGTAGCTTATTGTATAGTGCAATATATCATAATATATTGAGGCTTGGACCCCAAAGAATGAAAAATCTATAAAACCATCACTTGATAATGGAACGTGGATGGCGTTACACGTGATATGCATCACCAAACTTTGCTAATTGTATATCCAAAATGGCCGCCAGTTTCCTCAAATTTCACATTAAACAGTTAAATGTTAAGAATTTTAAAAAAATAAGTAATAATATCATGTGTTGTAAATATTTTTGCATGTTTTCAGATCTCTAGGAATGATTATATGCCAAATTCAGCTGCCTATTTCAAGAATATTTTCATTAAAATGGCTGTCACTTTTCAAAATGTCTGCCAAAACAAAAATCTTGGATAAATAAATAGACTTGGACATCGGTGTTTCTCCAGCAGTAACATGCTATTTCTAAGGTGTTGTGCATTAATGAACATTGGTATTGTAATTATATATTCAAAATGGCCACCAACTTCTGATGTTATAGTGTGTCTATATTTTGTTTTGTACAAAAAGAAACTAAAGAATATTATGTAATTTACAGCATCATGATTTTTTTTAAACAAAACACAGCTGCTGCCTAATTAAAAAAAAACCAATTGTATGACTTCTATTCCACGGAATATTAGAAAATTATGATGCTGCAAAAACATGAAGTACAATTCACACTCAATAAACTTGGACAAACATGTAACTGAACATAATAGTGATGCATTTATTGATTAGAACCATAGAAACTGTTTAATAACAATTACTGCATTATACATTAATTACAAATATATTAAATTATTTTTAATTTATTTAATTATTTACATTATATTACTTTATTTACAATATATTATATTCTTCCCTGTCAGCTGGACACAAATGTCACATACTGCTTGGTTGGTAAGTGTAGTGCGGTTCAGCTCAAAAAAACGGTCAAGTAGATGTCTGAAGTTCTTGATCCGCCTTCCTGATAGGAAAGATAGATGGTGTTAATATAAGAGAA